AAACAAATAATTTGAAAAAAAGATTTTTAGAAATCTAAATAGAAAAGTCGTCTTCATTGTATTAATAAAAAACGCCACCCACTGTAGGACAAATGAAACTAGCAAATAATGTATTAATATTTGTTCACTTATGCAAATTCTAGGGTATGTGACATTTTCTTGTGTATATGGGGAAAATGACACTGGAGCAAAAGTGTATCGGTTTAAAAATGTCATGAAAAATTTTTCTGGAAAATGTTGTCGCGCCGATAGAAATGAGCACTGATAGATAGAGCAATAACATACAGTGAAACCCTTAATAAAGAATACATCGAAAGAATTCGTCAAATGTCGTATTCTTCACTTTCTGATAATGGAATGTTGCAGATATTTAGTTTTTTAATTAAATGATTATATGGAACAATTTAAAACTGTTCCAGCATATTCATAGCTATTTATTTATTTTCGTCAATACTGAAATTTACGAAATATAGTATAAAACTTATTGAAAAATTGTCAAGACGACATTTGATAAATTCTTCCGATGTATTCGTTATTAAGGGTTTTACTGTATCTAATGGTTTTTCCTTCCATTCTTAAATTATTTAAAAGCACTTTTTTATCAAATAGATCTTTGTGCTAAACCTTTTTTTTGCGTTAAATATGAAAATGTTTTTACATTTAAGATAGAAAATTGAAAATAAAGAATTCATATGGAAAATACTTGAATTTGAATGATCAAAGAAAAATTGAAGTTGAAGAAATATTAAAACGAATTTAAAATTTGAACAGACGTTTCAACTTAAAAACTCCAGGAATTTTTCTTTTCAAAAGGGGTTTAAATAAATTCTTTTTTTCTTTTTCAGAAAACTGTTATCTGATTGTATCGAAAGCTTAGGAATCTATTAATTATTTCATCATTACAGTAAACCCTTAAAGGCTGCACTACAGTTCCACACCCGCCTAACCCGCAAATCTGCCACTTTAATAAAAATAAATTCAACCTATATGAAGCATAAAGCCTGACCGCGTCAACCTTGTTGCACCGGTTAGTCCATTTTGTTAGGTACAGTACAAACTAAGACTGCATGGAAAGGTTGACCCAGCCCGGAAATTCAAATGCACTACGGCTGCCCGTGCTAATTTTATTGCATTAAACGCGCTGGGTCAACCGCATACGGTTACACTAGACGAGCTGGTACGAGTAAACACTATACTATAATCTTTCTAATTTTGTACTGGTTTAGTATATTCAATTTATGAACTTCTGTGGCTGAAAAAAATTAACAGCTGCTCCCTATCATCGAAAAAATTATTTATACCATTTTAAACTATGAATTATGTTAGATCAAATATTGTACGTTTGAAATATCAAAGGTTTACACTTTCAGGTTGCAAAGATATAAAGGTTTAGAAAATTTGAGTTTTTGACTCAATTCCTTTCATAAATTTTCAAAATTGGGTGTCTAAAGTATCACAACGTCTTAGTCTTTGATTTCACCTCACTAAGTTAAAGCTATACTTCTTTGTATTCCAGTATACGTACAAAATAGAACTATCAAGCACTTGTTTTTGGCTTTAGTTGTGTAGAAGTAATTGGTATGATTCTTATCGATTCTTTGCTTATTTATATGTTCGCTATAGCTGGCCAAACGGCTGAACTAAAGAGAAACCATACCCCAGGAGTATCATAGACACCTCATCTTCACGCTACACGGTACTTCATCTTCACGCTCGACACTTCATCTTCACGCTCGACACTTCATCTTCACGCACGGTACTTCATCTTCACGCTCGACACTTCATCTTCACGCTCGACACTTCATCTTCACGCACGGTACTTCATCTTCACGCTCGGCACTTCATCTTCACGCACGGTACTTCATCTTCACGCTCGACACTTCATCTTCACGCTCGACACTTCATCTTCACGCTCGACACTTCATCTTCACGCTGCACGGTACTTCATCTTCACGCTCGGCACTTCATCTTCACGCTCGACACTTCATCTTCACGCTCGGCACTTCGACACTTCATCTTCACGCTCGACACTTCATCTTCACGCTGCACGGTACTTCATCTTCACGCACGGTACTTCATCTTCACACTCGACACTTCATCTTCACGCACGGTACTTCATCTTCACGCTCGACACTTCATCTTCACGCACGTTACTTCATCTTCACGCTCGGCACTTCATCTAAATCATCATTTAAAGGGACTGTAAAGAATTTCGATTTTTTTTCTTCTAATATCTTTTTTAAAAATTCTATTTAAAAACTTTCAACGGGCAACGCCGGGCCATCAGCTAGTTAATAATAAATGAAAAATGGATACAGGAGGATACTCAAATGATGTTTTCAGTATCAAGGATAAAGGAGAAAGGATACAGCAGCTTCAGGTGATATACACTGTACAGTAGTAACCAAAAAACTGACAGTTAATTGTCAATTCCGGTTTTTCTTGTAGAAATATCGGCTTGGATTTTGTACTCTGTAATTGTTCCTTTACAAGTATAATATAAGTCAGAGATAAGGGCACATTATAAGAAAAAGTACAAAAATAATTTCGCACAGTTAACCCCTAAATGAGCCATACATGGAAAGAATATATCAAATGTCGTCTTGACAATTTTTCAATGGGTTTTATACTTTTTTACGTAAATCTCAGTATTTGCGAAAATAAATAAATAGCTATGAATATGCAGGAACATTTTAAAAGAGCTCCATATAATCTTTTAATAAAAAAACTAAATATCTGCAACATTCTATTATCAGAAAGTGAAGAATACGACATTTGATGAATTCTTTTTATATATGGCTTATTTAGGATTTTACTGTACTAAAAAGAAAGAGTTATTCCACTGTTTTCTGGGTACCCCTGTATGAAACTGTTGTTGTATGATACAGCTGTTTCCTCAACTCTGCAGAACAAGAAATGATCGAATAGAAGTTCTGACAAATGGTTTTAATTTTTTTAATAAAAATGAAATTTCAGGAGATTTTGGGATCCGATCAACTTAATATTGAAAAAGCTCAAGAGAGGTGCATTAGAATAGAGAAACTTAAAGAGGTAAAATAAATTATTCTTTTTAATCCCATTCCCATAATTTCCGTATTTTATTTCATTTTAACGTTTTAATAATCATGTGAAGACATAGGACTTACAACCTGATGGTGAAAACCTTTTAGATTTCAAACTTAGACTATTTAGTCTAACAGAATTTATAGTTTGAAATATAAAAGGTCTACGATAACCGAATCAGAGTTTGTGGCAAAAAATCAATTCCTTTTAAAGGATAACCGCGGCTAGGACAGCGGCTCCGAACATGACAATGTTCAACAATTTTTGATTTTATTCAATAGCATTTAACAGATGTTAAAAGTTATAGAACATGAGGGGTAGAGAGGGTAGGTGTTCTTGGAGAAATGGGGGGGGGCCGGGGGAGTCAAGAAAACTTTAGGAATAAACCCTAATTTTACCAGAATTGCCGAGTGCGGCATTGTTGCTCTCCCTGACAAAGTGAATTCCTTGTAAGAAACCCTGAATGCAAAGACGACATTCAAAAATATCAAATTCACGGCATAGACTATTTTTGATAACAGAGAGAGAGACTACCTAGATATATTTTATATAAATCCAAGATATTTTTTGCAAAAGTTTCGACTTATACAGTTGTGAACGTAACTTTAAATCGACCTTCATTTAAAATTTCATTTATACGGAAACACTGAGAAGATTTTTTTTTTATTTTAAAATTAAATTTAAAATTTTTTTCATTAACAAATACTCAAATGGCCACCTTCCTCTTGATTGCATAATTTGGCTCTGGTACAAACATTTTTAGCAACCCTCAGCAGAGTATCTCACTAGCTCTCTTGAAGCCTTTTACAACAGGAACAGTCTTCTTGACAGTTATGGTAAAGTTAACAATATAATCCCTGCAAAGCTGAGTTAACCCTTTGTCAGAAGAATAGTTCTAAACAATCTAAATCTTGGCTTCTTTAGAAAACTCCCTATTGGAATATGGCTCAAATGAAACAACTGAATTTGCGCATTTTTTGGTATTAGAATTGTGAATTTAAATTGAATACAACAAAACTATCAAAAATAGCAAAGTTACAGCAATTTGAAAATTAGCAAAGTTAAAAGTAAAAAAACCTTCTGCTGAAAGAGGGGCCTACCAAATTCACAACAGACCTTTCAATCTTTATTTTGATCTATATTCTGGAAGATATCGTCGTGTTTCTTGCTTGAAAAGTGTTTGATTCTGACAATTTCTTCCATATTGTTTGTGAAACAAAAATACGCAAGTCACCCAGAAAACCCACAATTACAAATGATCAAATTTAAAGCAGAAGATGATTGACATCCTATGAACTCTTAATCACACAAAGGGTACCCTTGTAAATGGTAAATAGGATGGTCACTTGAAATCATGTCTACAGTCCGTTTTAATTCTTCACTTTATGTAATAATTCAGGCTTCAGCCAGACTAATTCTGTTGCATAAAACACATTGGGTCAATCACATACTAGGCACGTTAGACCTGCTGGTACGTTGGGTCAATCACATACATAGGCACGTTAGACGTGGTGGTACGTTGGGTAAATCACATACATAGGCACGTTAGACGTGGTGGTACGTTGGGTCAATCACATACATAGGCACGTTAGACGTGCTGGTACGTTGGGTCAATCACATACATAGGCATGTTAGACGTGCTGGTAAGTTTGGTCAATCACATACATATGCACGTTAGACGTGCTGGTACGTTGGGTCAATCACATACATAGGCACGTTAGACGTGCTGGTACGTTGGGTCAATCACATACTGGGCACGTTAGACATGCTGGTACGTTGGGTCAATCACATACTAGGCACGTTAGACGTACTGGTACGTTGGGTCAATCACACACTAGGCACGTTAGACGTGCTGGTTCGGTAACAACTGGACTGGCATCCTTGTACCGGTTCGGAGCAAGTTTTGAACTAAGATGACAGAATAATTGAAATCAAAATCACAAAACTTTAATTTATTGATATGGTTATAACAAGAGAGGGATTTTAAATCTCAAAATTTATTTCTAAATATCATAATTGTCTTTTGAAATGATCAAATTCGGACTGGATTTTTTGCCCCACATACAGGATGGCTGGCCATTTCTTCAAATTCTTCTTGTTCTTCTGGTAGCACCTGGAAAATTGCAAACATTTTAAGAATGAAAAAATATAAAATTAGACATTTTAAAATTCTATCATTTGTACAAACAAAAGATGCAAGGAAGGATTTTTCCAATACTTTTCAAACAGAGTATTCTAGGATTAGGGAATTACAAAAAAATATTGATTTATCTAAAATATGATAATATAATACCTTATGTATTGTAATTGTATGCATTATTGTACAGCCCATGAACCTTACGGGAATTCTACAAACAAACAAAAATATTTAAAGATAAAAAATACAAATGAAAAATGTACTGTAAAAAAGAGGAAAAGACGTTTGAATCTACTTTAAAAATTACAACTTATATATTATTTATTATTATTATTGTTATTATCATCATTTTCAGTTATCCATAAAAAACTATTTTGTTCCTAACAGCGTTGTTTTTAAATTCTTGTACATGAATTCTCTGTACTGTGTTCAGCTCTCCTAGTACACCAGTTACAAACACATCCTAATCATTATAAAAATAGATTTAATAATAAAGAATAGCAAAGAATCTGAACCTCTATACTCTGTAGCGTTCGATTTCTTTAATTTGAATTCATTCGCGTTTTGGTCTATAATTCAGTAATCTTTAAATGGAGGTTTTGGTCTATATTTCAGTAATCTTTAAATGGTGGTTTTGGTCTATAATTCAGTAATCTTGAAATGGAGGTTTTGGTCTATAATTCAGAAATCTTTAAATTGTGGTTTTGGTCTATAATTCAGAAATCTTTAAATTGTGGTTTAGGTCTATAATTCAGAAATCTTTAAATTGTGGTTTTGGTCTATAATTCAGAAATCTTTAAATGGAGGTTTTGGTCTATAATTCAGAAATCTTTAAATGGAGGTTTTGGTCTATAATTCACTAATCTTGAAATGGAGGTTTTGATCTATAATTCAGTAATCTTGAAAGGTACAAAGTGGTGTTGTTGAACTTTTTAATAAGAAATGCATCCACCGACAAAAAAAGTATTAAAAAAGCAAAAAAGTAAAAAGTTAATGTTAAATTGGCCAAATCGGGATCGAAAGTCGCATTTTCATTTAACCTGCTAAACATCTACAGAGTTTATTATCTGACTGCAATCCTAATGGCGCTTATGGCAGCTAATCCCCTTTAAGAATTTAAATCTTAAAATTTAATGTGAAAATCTAAATTTTAACAACATTTATTTTCTTTATGAATATATCATTTTTTTTAAATGAAAATTTATGAATCAGAGTCCGAATTTAATGAATTTGAGTCGCGTCTCAAATCCCCCCAAAACCGGCTTAAATTTTGAAACATTGAATCCGATTTTAAGTGGAACCAACCATATTTAAGCCGCGGCTCAAATTCTTTAAATTTCGGCCATAGAAAATTATAAATTTCTGATTGAATAAATGTTGCACAAAATTATGGGTACACTGTACAACTGACTTAAATTTTTATGATATTAATGGTAATGTAAATGCATGTAAATGTATGTAAATGTATGGAAAAAGTAGAAATTGCAAAAAATTGAAAGAAATGATGAAATAATTTGTTGTTTTCTTTTAAGTAAAAATATTTTGAAAAAAAAATAATTGCAAGAAGAGAGAAAAAATGTTTCTGACAGATTCATTAGAGGAATTAAATTCAAAAAGTTTAAACTTCTAAAAATTTTCAGTTTTTCATTCTTGTAATTTAAGTTACGAAAACATGAAACATATTTAAAATATAATCTCATATTTAAAGTTCAAACTTCAATTAAAGAGCCAATTTAAAGGGTCAGTTTATGATGTGTTAAAAGAGATTTCAAGTGAACCTATTTTAAAAAAAACGCCCGATTAACAACTGAACTCTTTCACTTGAAATTCCAACGACAGTCTCTTTAATGAAAGGTAAATATTGAAAACAAATGTGAAAAAAAATAATTTTACTTTCTTAGTGCGCAAATTAAAAAAAACAATGGAATATTAAAGGGAGTGACCGGCCATGTAAGGTAATTGAACTGAATATGCAGTGTTTTGGAAAACTTCTTTCGGATTCATTTGAGACATATTAAACTTATTAAAGATCTGTAAATCCTAAGTCTCAAATGAATCCGAAAGAAGCTTTCCACAACACTGTATACTCAGTTCAACTACCTTATACAGCCGGTCACTCCCTTTAATGCATACAAAAATATAGCAGACTTTAAGGGTCTGTTAAGATTCCACCCTCTTTTTACTCCCCCCCCTCTCCCGTCCCCTCCCCCTTCTTTATTACCTCAAGGTGAAGATAGTTCTTTTCCATAGAACTAGAGAACAAAGAACTAAATTTGATTTCAAAAATTTTGGAAATTCATAATTTTTTGCCAAAGAATTTGTTTAAAGATTTAAAGAATTCAATTAATATTTTGTAACTATTTAATAACTATAAAATAAAAAAAATAAATATTGTGCTTCTTGAAAAAATAAATCTTAAATTAAATAGTGAAATTTTTGACAAATCTGCCTGACTGTGTTTCCACTTATAACATAGCTTGGTCCGGTGGCAAAATCTGGGTAGACATCCTCAGAATACTAAAACAAAGTTGTATATATTGGTAGATGTCCTCAGAATACTAAAACAGATTTGTAAATATTGGTAGATGTCCTCAGAATACTAAAACAAAGTTGTATATATTGGTAGATGTCCTCAGAATACTAAAACAGATTTATAAATATTGGTAGATGTCCTCAGAATACTAAAACAAAGTTGTATATATTGTTAGATGTCCTCAGAATACTAAAACAGATTTGTAAATATTGGAAGATGTCCTCAGAATACTAAAACAGATTTGTATATATTGGTAGACATCCTCAGAATACTAAAACAAAGTTGTATATATTGGTAGATGTCCTCAGAATACTAAATCAGAGTTTTATATATTGGTAGACATCCTCAGAATACTAAAACAGAGTTGTTCATATTGGTAGATGTCCTCAGAATACTAAATCAGAGTTGTAAATATTGGTAGATGTCCTCAGAATACTAAATCAGAGTTGTTCATATTGGTAGATGTCTTCAAAATACTAAATCAGAGTTGTAAATATTGGTAAATGTCCTCAGAATACTAAATCAGAGTTGTATATATTGGTAGATGTCCTCAGAATACTAAAACAGAGTTGTATATATTGGTAGATGTCTTTAGAATACTAAATCAGAATTGTAAATATTGGTAAATATCCTCAAAATACTAAATCAGAGTTGTAAATATTGGTAGATGTCATCAGAATACTAAATCAGAGTTGTTCATATTGGTAGATGTCCTCAGAATACTAAAACAGAATTGTAAATATTGGTAAATGTCCTCAAAATACTAAATCAGAGTTGTAAATATTGGTAGATGTCCTCAGAATACTAAAACAGAGTTGTTCATATTGGTAGATGTCCTCAGAATACTAAATCAGAGTTGTAAATATTGGTAGATGTCCTCAGAATACTGAGTTGTTCATATTGGTAGATGTCCTCAGAATACTAAATCAGAGTTGTAAATATTGGTAGATGTCCTCAGAATACTAAAACAGAGTTGTATATATTGGTAGACATCCTCAGAATACTAAATCAGAGTTGTATATATTGGTAGATGTCCTCAGAATACTAAAACAGAGTTGTATATATTGGTAGATATTATTAAAAGGGTTCCAAGGTCTGCTTTTACAGAGATAGGGCTTTAAAAAATATATTTCCATGTTGTTATTTTCCTAGATGAAAAACTTGCAGATTGAAGGGACAGTCGTTATAATTTCAAGTACTGTTCTCTAACCACAATTGAACAAAATCAATTTTCAATGAGAAACACATTGATATCTCATTCATTCAATTGATGAGACAAAGCTTTCCAGGGTACTGTTGTGAATTGTTATGCCTATTTTCAAATGGAGGGTTACCTACAAATAACGTCTACAGTCCCTTTAGTATAGTGTTTGCAAACACTAACCGACTTGACTCTTGTTTAAGTAAGACGACCCACATATATGCTTCCAAATGTAGCAATTCGAACAAAGATTATATCTCAAGGACCATTGAAGTAGATAGAACTTCAATCACTTTATTTGCATAAAATTATAACATAAACATTCAAATGCAAATAAAACAAATATGTTGAAAAAAACAAAACAAAAAATGTCAATATGAACAAAAGTGAAAATATCAATAGTTCCTATGAGGCTAGTTCAAGAGACTAACCACCATATCAAAATACTTGTAGAAATGATTCAAGTGCAGATTTTCAACAAAGAACAATGATGAAATATAAACACAAGAGTTCACTTACAAATGGCGTACAGTTTAAGTTTAAAATTTGTAAAATCTAATTGTCCATGTTTATAATTTAAGAGATTAAGTAATAATTTGAATGTCGTCTTCCCTAAACCAGTGCCAATTTCTGGGATTTACACTGCTCTTGCAGGTTGAGTGTTTTTAACATAGATAAAGATAGATTGCGCATAAGACGACATTTTTCATCTTGAAATATATAAATGTACAGAGATGTTTTAAAGATATTTCTAATATATAGATTAACTAGGTCGGTTGTGAACATTGGCTGTTCTTATGTAATTGAGTACTTGTGGTGTACATGAGTTCTGTAGAAATAAATTTAAATTAGTTTAGTCCGTCTCATGTCCTTTTTCAGTTCTCGTCAATATTATATATTGCTCTGTGAAATAAAATTCACTCCTGAGTGGTTTAATAATTATGAAATCGATTAAAACGCCAAACAACCCCGCTTATCATTGAAGTACACTTTGACCCCTAGAAGTATGAGTTCGCGGACTGTACAATTCTTGGTGATTTTGCGTAGCTATCTATGTTTATTTATTTATCTATGGTTTTTACCTGTTGTGGAGTGATGAAATATTTAGATTTAGGATTCCTGACAGGTTTCCATCCCCGAGATATATTTCCCAAAATTAACCTGAAAAAAAACTTTGGAAAAAAAGAAGAAAAAATTTTTTTTTTTAAGAATTAAAACAAGCTTGAAATAGATGTTCATGATTTTTGAACTAAAGTAATATCATTATCAGTGTATATAATAATCATCATATTTTTTCAACTTTCCAACCTGTCATTTTGTTTCTTGGATTTGAGAAGTCTTATCAGCCTGTCAACTTGTACATACATATCATCATCAACTTTTAACAAAAACCTAAAAATGGTAACTGTCAATACCATGTTTAACAATTCCAATTTACAATAGTACCCTTTAAACCAATGGCTGATCACGAATGAATAAGCTATTTATGTTTCTATTTTTAAAAACTTTTATCAGAAACGATGGGGGTTAATTTTCAAAATTTAATACTTTTCACGCCATAAAAAAGATCTTTGACATCATTATCAGATAACGGTTTCAACAGTATCGTTGTGAATCGGGCATTGCCATCTTTGTATAGAGGGTCACTATCAGTATTTATTTTGTTACCTGGCATGGGAGCAGAACTGTTTAAACCAGTCCAGCCCTGACAGTGATTTTAAACTCAGGTTTTCATAAACATCCTCGTTCTTGTTGATAATGATGTCGCCGTACTTCTGGTTCTCCTGCACCAGCGACTCCAACTCCTTATCCGTCCCGGGGAGCCCTTAAAAATAGCGTTGGAATTTGAATTATATCCACTAGCTTTGAGACCCAGCTTTGCCTGGAGTTTTCCTAGCAAAAGTTGACCCACTCAGCTATTTTACCGTGATTAAGGAACTCGGTAGAACCACAAGGTTTTGCTTAGCTTGGTTTAAAGTGCTAAGTTGATTATGTTCACTTTTGTAAGGAACGTGCTTGGTTTTCTAGCAAAGCTGGATTCACAAGCTATAATCTTTTATATCAGCATTCAAATATCTTAATATAAACGTATACTTTAATCTATTTAACAACATTTTATGTAGGGCTGAGACTTGCAAAACCTGTTTGAAAAATAGCGATCATTGCCTGATTTTGATCTTCTGTTAATCTGCAGATTAATCAAATTTGTATTCGTTATTCAAATTTATTTAATCCTACCCTGGAGGAATAGTTGAAACTAAGGGATAAATTAAAACCTGCAATGAATATCGACTTAAAGCATTCGGGATTATGTTTATACAACAAATTCTTAGCAGCAATATTTAAAATTTATGTCCAATTTGTTTTAAAGATATTGCAGATGTTGTGTAGAGAATTTTAATAATTATTATTTGTATGGTTTGATTATGTAAAAACTTACCAATCAGAAATGCAAAAACAACATCTTCCCGATGTTTATGTCTTCCCCACCCTTTCCTGATCCCCTGTCTTTCTGCTGTATGCCCGGGCGCAGAAATCACCAGAATGACCAGCACGACAGGAGACCTGTCGGTCAAATTTGTCTGGTTTATTGGAGAATCACAGAGTTGGTGGTTAGAAACCAGATATCCAGGCTTGTAAATATCCTGTGCAAAAACGTTCAGGACTTTCATAAAAAAAATTAAGAAAAAAATCATGCTAGCTTATTACATGGGATAAAATACTGAAAAATACGACTTTCATAGAAAAATTTTAGAAAAATTAGTTAAGGGAAAAATATTTAAAAATTATATGACATTTGAAGAAAAATTCAAGAAAATTTGATAAAAAAAAAGAAAATCGTGCTAGCTAATTACATGGAGAAAAATACTAAAATGCGGCATTTATAGAAAAAATAGAAAAAAATAAGTAAGCTCATTTCATTGTGAAAAAAATACTGTAAAAGATAAAGAAAGATTAAAAGTGTAAGAATTGTTTTTTGAAGATGACCAATACAATTAAAAAAGTGTTTAGAAATTACAACTACAGTCCCTTTAAGTTTATTTCCAACTAAAATCTGATTTTAACTATTATACGCTCGAAGGAGAAGAAAGAAAAAGAAACGCACTGACGTGGTTTTTAGAATGTCATGACTTTCCTTGGTTATGTGTGGAACAAAGTGATGATTGTAGTGCATGACATGCTTAAAATCAGGACTATTCTGTTCCCCCCTTGCAAGCGCAATATCACTCTTGATTCGAGGAACTGTGTTTCCCGCATTTTCATCCAGGATCTTCTTTGGTGGATTTAACGAATCATTTTTGATTTTTAACTTCGAGTCAATTAATAAGGATTTAGTTTTGTCAACTGAAAGACTAGGATTTAGATCACTTCGTGAAAAGTAATTTCTCTCGTCAAGAAAATTTTCAGATTCACGCACAATGCCTCTTTTTTCATGTATATCACTTTCCTCGTTGTCTCCAGCATTTTCAAATTCAATGCTATCTTCAAAATCACTTGTATCTAGTATGTCTTGGTAATGATTTTTGACCTGAAAATCATTATTTTCAATGTGATTATGGTTTGGTTCCTGGGTGGTTTTAGGGTCTTTCAAAATGTTATTGACACTTAAAAACCCTTGACTGCTGAGTCCGGTTATCCATTCTGATTGCAAGGGAACAGGATTCTAAAGAAAACATTTTATATTTGTAACACTGTAATTTATTTATGTATTAGAAAGACGTTTGTTAAAAACGTTCAAGGGAGTGACCGGCAACGTATGTTAGTTGAAATGAGATTGCAGTATTATTGAAAAAATTTTTAGGATTCATTTGAGACCTTTTAGACGTGTTTACGGTGTAAAAATTTTGCAGCTGAGCACAAATGCAATATTTAAAATCCTCATAGATTGTCCATTTTGCAGATATGATTTTGAGAATCGGTTTTATTCAAATTATTTTATGCCGACCACAAAAATGTAACAAAAAATACTACAGTACACTAATTTGTTGTTTACAAAGAGGTTGAGAAAATAAAAATCAATTCTTATCATCGAAAATAAGTAATCTTATTCAGCCATTGGTTTCTATAATGTCTCATTGGTCAAAACCATTTTCTGTAGAATTCCTGGAATTTTTAATGAAAAGACGGCATTTGAAGGATATGAAGAAATCTGCGAACAAATTCATAAAGAATTAAATAAAGAATTAAATTAATATGATGATGAAAAGAAACAATTGATTCTAACATGGATTTATTGACAAATTTCCAATAAGAAATATGTTCCTATAGACATCTACTTAGTTTACTGTAAAAATTTTGTTACAATTTTCTTCTTCGTTTTTGAATAATTTTTATCAAACCGATTCTTAAAATTCTCCCTCCAAAATTGATAATCAACGATGATTTTAAATATTGAATTTGCGTTTTTGCTGGACAAATATACACCGTAAAAACATCTGATAGGTCTCAAATTAATCCTAAAAAATGTCTCAATAAAACTGCAATCTCAGTTCAACTACCATACATTACCGGTAACTCTCTTTAAAAGAATAGTGATTTATAATTGGAGATGGAGAATAACTTTAAACTCAGTTAACAGTCCCTTAAACTATACCTCGTTATTTCCTGCTGGAAGATTAAGTAGATCTCTGCCTGCCTGCATCACACCTATGGCAGGAAATCTGAGCACGTTACTTCCTGTCGACAGAGTTCTTCTTCCTGCCACCATTATTAGTCCAAGGACAGCTACACCACTTTACATTGAGTCAATCAAAGAGAGGAGAGGG